ACATCTAAAATGACATACATTTTCTTCCACTGTCAGTTTTGCATATGTTCGTGGCAAAATGGCTTGATAAGTCCCCCTAAAACATTCAACAAAGGCAGCCCTGGTGGCATGTATTAGTTGGATCAATGAAGTCAGTCTTTTCTTATTACAACAATTAAACCATGTATCTTCTCTTTATTATTATGCATCGCTAATATGTGATGCATATGTTATGTAAAACATATACATCACATATATTTTCATGGTCTGTTCTTCACTTCATATGCTGAAACATAACACAGCAGCAGCACACCTTTGTGCAATTTAATGTACAATTTCTGCTCAATTTCTTCCATGACCTTGTACTTTGACAAACCCCTTGTATTAATCACATCAAATTCGGCCAGTGCAACCAAACAACCTCCACAATGTAAAGTTGTGCTAATCTTAAGTTTTCCTTTAACACCATGCCCGTGGCCATTTCGCTATGAAAAAGGAAGTTCCATTCCTTTAACTTTATATTGTCCAATATGCAGAAGACTTATCAAGTTTGATGACTTTGTTGTTCAAACATCAATTTATCTGAAATTTTGTCAACCTCCAACTGCCACCAGGGTGTCAGGGCCTGCTATTACCTGCTTGTAGATATAGTGGTTATTATTATTTTAATCATTAGTGGCTGAACACTGATATGTTTACAAAGGGGCATTGTGACATGTGACATTCAGTTTTTCCACCAGTGCTGCTACTATTGTTTATGTCTCAACATATGGTGAGGAGACATCATGTGCATCAGGTTGGCTTGTCAATATCGCAATATTTCATTTTTGCTGTTGCCCTCAATCCTAGATATTTAAAATAATGCTGTTTAGGCACAGATTTCCTTGGAGCTACTTGAACCCCATGCGTCCAGTTCCGGGCATATATATTCCTCAGCTCTAACACTCTTTCATATTCTGCTATAATTTCTTTATTCCTCAGTATGTGTCTTCTTGGTGTTCATGGTACTAGAGAGTGGGTGCTGTATGCTGAGTGCCCACTAGCTCACCTGGTAGCATGAGCACCCCACTTATGGAGGCTTTTGAGCCCCCACTCTTGTCAGTACTTTTATCGAATCACTTTTTTTATCAAGATACCCTCTATTTTACACAAATCTTCTCCGTAATTCATATACTGCCTGATTTTTGCTGGATCATCCTTTCTCTCTCTTGGCCAGACTTCTTTCACCATTGTTCTCAGTGCAGCATGGAGCACCTCTTTGTTACTTTGTGTATAGTCTGTCTATAGTCTTTTTTGAACATGAGGTATACTTGAGTGTCAATACCTTCCTCCAGTTTCTCAGCTGGATAAGAATAATCATCTGTTACATTTCTTTTCTCTTGGTTTGTGTATCACATCCAGCTGGTTGGGTTGTAGTTTCAAAAGGAGGAGGTGTCCTTAATGAGTTACTTCAGATTGGTTTCTTGAATATGGATACTAGCAGCTTGTGATTTCAGTTGTTTTGCCATATCTGAAATTGATTAATCTAGGTGTTTAGCGGTACACATAAATCACGGTTCGATATGTACCTCGGTTTTGAGGTCACGGTTTGGTACAGTAGCAAGATGAGGGAGGGTCTTCACACTCCTGTTTGTCTGCGGTTGCTATGACCACGAGCTGAAAGCACATCCGGTCCTTCGCTGAAGTTGTTACTCGAAATTTGAGACCCATAAGCACATATACTGTTACACCCCTGTCAGGAGCTCAAGAGAAAGATCATCCACTAACCAGAAGGTCAGTGGGTCAATCTCAACCTTCTCCCATCTACATGCTGCAGTTTCCTTGGGCAAGATAATAAATCCCTAAATTCCTCCTGACAGTTGTGCTGACAGTGCGTGAATGGTGTATAGAAGTGCTGAATGTGACTTTAAATAGTCCATAAGACTAGAATGGTGCTCTTTGAATAAAATCGATACACCATTTGATTTTTGATACATGCATACTTGATACTTGGTCAGTGCTTTTGTGATCTTTATGCCCATCTCACACAAGGCTCTCTGATATCATTCACTGCCTCTTCATGCCTCTTGTTCCAGTGCTATGCTTTCTCTTTGTGCAGATGTTCTATTGGTGGTTGAGTGAGTGTTGAGAGATGTGGTTTTGTTAGATATGTCACAACACCCAAAAAACTCTCGTTCTGGTCTGTCCTCTGGTGTATCCCTCTCTCTGTGGCTGCTTGTGCTGAGCTTGAATGGTTTGAATCAGAGGAAATAATCCTATTTGTTTGGGCATTCCCTCAAGATCAGCTTGAGTGAATGTCATCAAATTTGGTACAAACATTCACTGGTCAAAGGTCAGTGCAATATCTCTGCAACAACTTGGGGTAATTCTTTTACATTCACTTGAACTTTGATTTCATCATGTTTGTCCAAGGTCAAAGGTCAAGGTCATGGTGGCCTCACAAACTGTTTATGTTTTCTTGAACATATCTATCATATCTATCATTTTATCTATGCACTGTTAGTTGGTCCTTTATCTATAAACTGACATTGGGTACTGCTTACAGAGAGAAAGGACTATCTGTGGAATTAGCCTGGCACTCCTCTCTTCCTGTTGTACAGATATAATGTAATATACACTATAATATAATCGTATATAGTGGCATATACAGCAATGTGTGAGGATATACAACAAATTCCTCAAAAATAATGAATCAGTTTCACCTGCTTTGGTGCAAATAAAAATGACAACATGGAGAAGCAAAATCAAGAAAACCCTTAGTTTAGCGTTAGTTTATTGTTCTGCTAGTGTCCTTCTCACTACTGGTAGCATGAGGTGGTATCTGCTGCCTGATCAGGTTGCACAGGTTGTCCAGCTCATCCAGGAAAGCGCAATCTCAAGAGCATGGGGTAGATACTAGGAGAACAGCTGTTACACAAGGAGATCTGGACAGGGCTGTAGAAGGGCATCAACCCAGGTGCAGGACTGGTATCTGCTCCTTAGTGTTAGGAGTAACAGGAGGAGCACTGCCAGAGCCCTACAAATTGACCTCCAGCAGGCTACAGATGTGCATGTTTCTGACCAAACCGTCAGAAACAGACTCCATGAGGGGGGCATGAGGGCCTGACATCCTCTAGTGAAACCTTTGCTCACAGCCCAGCACCAGGCAGCTTGGTTGGCATTTGCCAGAGAACCCCTGAATTGGAACGTCCCGATTGGCGCCCTGTTCTCTTCAAAGATGAGAGCTGGTTCACACTGAGCACATGTGACAGGCATGAAAGAGTTTGGATATGCTGTGGTGAACCTTATGCTGCTTGTAACGTCATCCAGCATAACCAGCTTGGTGGTGGGTCAGTGATTGTATAGGGAGGCATATCCCTGGAGGGTCGCACAGACCTACAGTATATGTCATAGCCAACGGTATCTTGACTGCTGTTAGCTACTGGAAGGAAATCCACAGAGCGATTATAAAACCTTCGCTGGTGCAGTGGGCAGTGGGTTTCTCCTGGTGCAGGACAATGTGGCCAGAGTGTGTAGGCAGTTCCTTGATGACAAAGGCATTGATGCCATTGACTGGCCCTCTCGTTCTCCTGAACTAAATCCAATTGAGCACCTAAGTACCACCACAGACTGTGCAGGAGCTCAGCGATGCCCTGATCCAGGTCTGGGAGGAGATCCCCCAGGACACCATCCGCCAACTCATCAGGAACATGCCCAAACGTTGTCGGGTGTGCATACAGGCACGTGGGGGTCATAAAGTCACACAAGTTGGATCACCCTGTGGTTTCAGTTTTTCTTCTTTGATTTTCGGTATGATTTTGAATCCAGCCTTCAATGGGTTAATGATTTGGTTTCCATTGACCGTTGTTACACCATTTCGTTCTCAACATATTATACAATGTACATCAGTAAAGATTTTCAACTTGAATAATTCGTTCATCAAAATCTGACGTGTGATTTAAGTGTAGTTAGGGGAAAATAAGTAAAGGGGAAAGTCAATCTCCTTATTTTTTACTAAGCACTTTATTTTAAGATGTCTTTTTCAAAATCTCTTTATTTATTATTAAGATGAATAGTAAACATTGTTAAAATTATTTTGAAATGTGCTTTATTTGATCAGTTTTTGACTTCATACAGACATTTATACAACTTAGTAGTTGTACTACTTCAAAATATATGGCAAATATATTGACATATTGACAAATTCATTATTATATTAATCGAGTCATACAAACTAATCGTCAGATTAATTGAAAAAATGTATGATTAGATTAATCGATTAATCAAAAAAGAATGAATCATTAGATGAATCGCTAAAAAAAATTTGCAATAGGTGCAGCCCTAATTTACAGTAGTTTTGATCATCTCAATTCGCAAAACCACATTTCAGTATTTTTTTCCAGTTTTTCCATTGTTGGTTTTACTGCATTTCTCATTTTAATATAATTATAAATTGAATATCTCTGGTTTTTCGACTGTTGGTTGGATGTCAATGCGGTATTTACTCTATTTGTCTTTGTATGGATGAAATGATTTATGGATTTAATGAAAAGGAAAACCACAGGCATTTTATAGTTATTCTATCAGCAGACTGCTGTGAAGTCATCAAATCACACTATTATATTTGCAAACAGTGCTTTATAGTTTAATATGTTTATTGATATCTTTGGTGATTCTCACGTAGTGTTTGTCATTATGGTTTAAGGATTCAGGGTTTTGCTGGTGCTTTAGTTCCTTAGATTTATCTCAAAATTGTTATTCCTCCACTGTCTTTCTTTTGTCCCATTATGCATCAGTGGGTGTCCCATGGCTTTTTGTGGGGGACAGCAAATAAGTGATTGTCGTGGATGGTCCATGTGCACCTCTGACTTTGATGATTCATGTTCCTTTCCCTGTCTCCTCTCTTTCCCCACTATATTTCAGCTATATTTTCACACTCAATTTTTTGTATCTCTTGGATTGTTTTCCTGCACATTCACCCATATAAAATTCAGTTTCTTATCCTTTTCTCCTTTCTCCTCCTCCTCTCTTGGAGCGTAGATCGTGGGCAGAGTTTGTCCTTCCATGAGGTGTGTGATTGGTGTGAGGCAGAGATGAGGACAACAGCTGAGGAACCATCAAACAGCAACAACAGTGTGGGTGGTGGAGTAGGTGGCGGCAGCACCGTCCTGCAGCGCCTCCTGCAGGAGCAGATGAACCGGAATTACGTGCTTCAACAGCAGCAACAACAACAAGGAGGAGTAGCAGGGGGGAGTGGCGGTTACTCAGGACAGGGACAGGTTGGCCCCTCTGATGATCACTCCATGACCCCCCACATAGCTCGTCAGGAGCCCCAGGGACAGGAGCTGCAGACGGACAATGGCCTGGAGAAGTTGGGCTCCAACAGAGTAGGAGGAGGGGGTGGGAGCAGTGGAGGAGGAGGTTTAGGGACCGGGGGAGGTGGCAGCAGTGGAGGTGGTGGAAGTGGCCAAGGGCAATGCCCAAACCCGGAGGACCTCCCTACCTATGAGGAGGCTAAAGTACAGTCACAATACTTCCGTGGCCATGGTCCTCCTCAGCCACAGCAGCAAAACAACCAGGCCCATCAGCCTCCTCTCCCAGCCTCAGTGGGTGCTACCTTCTATGTCACTGGGGTAACCAGCACCAAGGTGCGTACTGAGGGTCGCTCAACTGTACGAGTGAGTGGTGCAGGAAAAGTGCACCAGGATGATGGGCTGAAGGATCTGAAGCAAGGGCATGTTCGGTCTCTCAGTGAAAGACTTATGCAGCTCTCCCTAGCCACCAGTGGTGTGAAGGCACATGCTCCTATCATCAGTGCCCCTCTCTCCCCTCAGTTGCCCCCACCAGGCACACAGAGTGACTTCTACAAGCCGCAGCATCGTGGTCCCCCTCCTGAGTACCCCTTCAAAGGAATCGGCTCACCTTCAAAGCAGCAGGAACCTGGAGGCCATTTTTACCAGGAGCAGAGAGGGAGGGAGCACTCAAGGGAGGTGCTTCCTGTTCGATACCAGCCACCACCTGAGTATGGTTCATTCAGGTAACAAACATGCACACATACTATGGCATTAATTAACGTATATACAGTATACACACTTGAAGCTGCAATTTTAAAATATCAGCTGTCTTGTTGAGATGTGAAAGGGAGGAAGTCACAAACCCAGGGAGTTATGATTCAATTCTACAAACAGCTGTTGACACTCTTTGATCTCTAGTCTTAATTTTACTCTAGTAAAATACGTCTCACCATGGTCATCAGATCAATCATCATCAGGATGACCAAAACATCAATACAAATATATGTTAATGTTGCTGTAGGTTGCATGAAAGTGTCAAAAAACACTAATAACCTGCAAGTCAAGGCAACTTTTTACAGTGACATTGTGTCAAAGTTGTGGGTTCGATCACTACTGCACAGACTTTTACTCTTAACATTGTCACCAGTGCAAAATGGAAGCGCTAGCATCCAAGATATTTTATTTTATTTCATGTTTGTGGGTGAATGGCAAAAAAACTGTACTGTAAAGCACTTTGAGTGGTCATCAAGACTAGAAAAGTGGTATATAAATCCAGACCATTTACCATATACAGTCTATGTATATGGAAAGAGGCAACCTGCCTTACACAGAGAGAATTGCCACTATCTGGCCCTGTTTCCGCTCGTCTTTCCAGCTGCAGAAATAAATCTAATTAATTGTACATTTGCTTATTTCAAGTCAAATATTCTAGCAAATACTACTTGAAAAAAGGAATCTAAAAACAAAAGACAGAACATTAACAACACAAGTAAAACAAAGAAATGAATATGAAGGAATTGAGAAATTCAGTAAATATTGGACAATTACAAAGGCTTTTATCAAAGTGCATGGGGATTCTGATGTTGTGTGTAGATTTGTGGTTGGTGTATGTAAATGCATGTGTGCTTGCATTCCATTCTCTGACACTATGGAAAAAATCTTCAGCAGCATTCAAAGGCATAACTGCCCGCACTGACACTGGAGTAAAGGGCAGCTATATATGCATCTTCACCTTCGGATGCTACCGACAACAGGGGTGCTCAAAGTGACCTATATTGCATAACAACATAAACATAGGAAAACCTAAAAAAATCGGACAAAACAAATACTAACATTACATAAACTATCCACATTTTTCATTCAATAAATCTGAACACCTCACAAAGCCAACAAACAAGCCCATCATATTTCACCCACCCCCTATACCTTTCCTGCACGTTACGACCCTCCCGGAAAGATAAAAAGGTGCTTGTTTCCCTGGGGACTCTTTTACATGCACATCCCTGGAGACAGTCACACACAGGTGAGTGTAAAATACATAGAAGTGTTTGTTATATTCACATATATGTATGTATATCTTGCTGATTTAGCAAGCCACAGAATTGACAATCTGCATTCCACTAATCACGTTGCTAAACTGTCGTTTCACAGGTGGCGCACCAATCTCACCACCCGGGGTCTGGAACAACTACATTACAATACATACACACAACTACTCTTAAAATAACCACAATAAAAATCTTAAATGTATTCACTGCTTGTCGTTATTTATTGAGCAATTATTTAATTGTGCAAATCAGTCTTTTTTGTGCAAATATTGCATGCTGTGTAAATATATTTCGCCAATCCGGAAGTGACACAGAAGCATAACAGAGACAGAGAGTACCTCCGTTACATGGGCCAGCCATTCATGCCACAATAACAATGATTATTATAACAAAATAAACAGATACATCACATGCAAAGATACAACTATTAATCTACTCTGAACATTAATATAAATAAATTGAAATCTGTATGAGGTGGATAGTTAATATCCTGAAATACTGAGAGCTCAAATGGTGAGGGAAAGGTTAAAGGTGATTTAATAATTAATATTATATAGCCAAATTGAAGCCAAGTGTGCAGAGCAGAGTCCAGGGAGAGGAATGGGGAAAAGGGAGAGAAAGACACAAGGAAAAAATAGATGAAACTGCAGTGACCGAAACCACCACATACAGTATATGTTGGATAAAAAATAATTTGCTTATAACCATTGTTATTGTTAAAAAAAAAAAACTAAACTAAATTATTTGTCAGAAAATTAATAACCAATTAATCAAAATCATCTCTCTGTATCTTGTCAAGACAGCTTGTTGAAATAACAGAGGACAAGAGAGACGGGGGGAACTTGTTTTAACCTCTTTATATGTTAAATGTGTATAAGATGATATTTTGAATTGTAGCAGAGCTTTGTCTTTGAGAATTTCTTAGACTTCTACTTGAGAATAGATGATATGTACTCCATGGCCACCTATGATCACCAGGGAGTCAGTCATGTGAGAATGAGCAAGTTTACTACCACTGCTCAATCTATGACACTTACTACTTCTCTGTGTAGTGGTTTGGGGAAAAGTATGATAGTGAGCATATTTTATGGGTAGTTTAAACTGTGGTGCTTTAACAATGGTTGATGCTCAACCAATTTTGGTGGACCGCCTGGACCAAAAATGCCCAGGGTCAATTATTTTGTTCCAGTACAGCCCTGGTAAGGTGGTTGAAATTGGTAGCCCTGGCTCTAATGTGTTCTTTTTGTGCTAGTGTAAGTGCAACTGTCAAAGGGTTTTACATTGGCATGACGCCACTGAAACTAACATAAGGAAAAGCACAAGGCAGCATGAAATATGCTAGAGCAAGACTTTGAATCCTTGCCAAGTCCAGAGGAGCTGTTCTGACCTGTGACATTCATACATAGGGATTTCTCAGTGGAGATCATTAATAAATCTGCAGGTTTTAAAACAGTTTTATGCCAATTAATAATGTCAGAAGCCATAAAGTTTAAATCTTATAATGTTTGTTTGGGAAAGTGTGTCTCAACATAAGTCATGTGAGTGGTTTCCATAGCAATGACACCAAGAAAAGGACCACAAAACTTATCTCTCAAATTACTGAAAATGCTGAGTTTAACATTATCCACAAAGACACACATTCAGTATTGCTATCCCGTGATTGTGAAACAACTCTATTTTGGCTTCTCAATTTTCTAAACTGAAATGATCACTTATCAATCAATTCAACTGTTTGCCTTTTTCACCAGAAAACTTACTAAGAACAGCTGGCCCTTTCCACATACAGATTACCAAACACAGTTTAACAAATTTTCATGACATGTACTTTGGAAAATGATAAAAAATAAACATTGAAAAAGATGAGATGTGAAAACCTTTCATGGTCTCCTAACAGTGTTCTTGAAACAGGGAGAACAGATCCTGTTGGGCCTGTTTTCCACTCACCTATTAACCTTAAGAGTAAACCAAATTCAAACAGACATGAATACTGGATCAGGCTAGGACAAGTCTAGACCTGATCTGTGTGGCTTTGATGATGCACCTTTGAGGGCTAAAAGCAGGAATGTTTGCCCCACACAAAGTCAACTGACAGCTGCAGTTTTGTCACTTCCCTGAAAAAGTAGTTCTAATCACACACTGTGAACAAGCAGACTTAGAATTGTACATTTAACCATTTGTCAACAACAGTATCCAGAGTTGGAATTGATTAATTAGCTTTGCCTTTGCTGTTTTAGACACTCACTGTTGATATATTAGATTGTAAACAATTTATTACTAGTTATTACTGGTGTTATACCTGGGTTTCAATATCAAAATCATCGTTTTTATGTAGCACCATCTGTTGTCTTGTTAAAATGCAGTCTAATAAGAAAGGATGCATTTTGAAGAAGGAACCATCTGATCACATAATACATATGCAAGACTTGACTGAGCATTCAATGTTAACTTCAATGCGCCATACTCCAGACACATATTTCAAGAATTAACGTAAAATACTATTTCTAATTTTTAAGTTATCTAGCTTTTACTGCAGAAGTTTGAGATAGGAAGAATTTTCACTGCAAGAGATCAGCTGTGGCACTTTCTTGCACTCTTGAGCAAAACACTTTGAACACTTGTGTTTTTAAGTGGCTATGCAGTGACAGGCATAACCGCTTAAGCCATGTAAAACGTGTTACTGCTGTATTTCAATTCACTTGGATTCATGGATGACCTGATTGAGAATTTGGTAGTCAAAGGACAAGGTCAATGTAACCTCTCATGTTGTGTGAATGTAATATCTCAGGAACATTTCAAGATAATTTTTTAAAATTTGGCTCACATGTTCACTTGGACTAATTCTACTTCTACTACTAATTTCTAGATTCTAAACATCAAGCCAGGAGACCAGCTAAGGTAGAGAACCATGTAATCACACAGCTGATCTCTTCTCAGGTCCAGTAAGGAGGGCTCGGTTCACTCCCAGAGACCCCTTCACCAGCACAGTCCCACCTCCTCTGTCACCTCGGTGGGCTCCTTGTCCCGTGCTCAGTCTTCCACCCTCAGCAGTATGCTTGGTGCCTCCCACTCCTCCCATGTTTCCTTTCACCACCAGCACCCGCAGAACCAGGGTGAGCCTTTCCATTGCATTGGGCCCCGCAGTCCACAGAGTTCTAGCTTGCACCATGCAAGTGAGCCCTTGACCTTAGGGCACATTCACCCACCCCTACAGAGAGGTCATGGTTTCCCACATGACCCCTATGGCTCTACCCCAAGGATGCACCATCAGCAACAGCATCATCAGTATCAGCACCATCAGTATCAACAACAACAGCAGCAGCAGCTCCAAGGACCAGCATCTCTCCAGCTCCAACTGCCGGTCCAGGCAGGAAATTTCCCCCATCCGCACTCCTACTCCCAACTGCAGGGAGAGCCCTTTGCCATGATGGTACATGCCCACCAGATGGTGGATGTGTTGACAGAGGAGAACAGGATGTTGAGGCAGGAGATGGAGACGTGTCGTGAGAAAGTCACCAAGTTGCATAAGGTAGCAAGCATCCTTTGCAGTAGACTTTTACAGAATATGTTTACATTTTAATAACAAGTCTGATTCCTCCTGTACATATTGACCACCTCTACAAGCAATATGCATTTAAGAGAAGGTGAATTTAATCCACAATTATTTTTCTGTTTATAAATTAATTGTTTAGTTCATCTGAAGTTTATTATTCTCCTTAATGCTGGACAAACAAACCCTAACATCTGGATTCTGTCTTCAGTGTAGAGTTTGTTTGGTCCACTGTTTTCAGGCACATTTGTGACACTCAATTAGAAAAAGGAAAAGCAAACTCAAAAGGCAATGGGAAAGGACTCAGTCATCTTTTATGTGGGTTAGCCTACATTCAAAATGCCCAGATATACAGTATGCACTAATTTTGATGATAGATGGGTGTTAAAATAACCTTTAGATAAATAAAGTGGGTATTAGCCCTAGTTTTTTCAGTATGAGATTCTGTTGTTCAGTGGCAGTATTTATTCTTTCTGAGATGTGGCAGATCTATAGTAACTCTGCATGCCTTTTGTACTTAATACGGTAGAGAGTTTGACTCAAATATAAATAATGCTAAAATAACTAGTGCGTCATATTTGCTAAAAAGGGTAATTTTTTGGAAAAAAATGTATGTAATGATCACTTAATGCATGTATTGTACCTCGATCGGTCATCTTTTTAAAGAAACGCTAACATTTCTTAAACTACTATGATACTATGCACACATTTCTATTTTACAAAGTATAGTAAGAAAGAGAGCTGTGTCCTGCAAATATTAAATAATTGAGGATGCATGTTAATACATTCTATATTCTCAGATGTTCTTCATGCAAATGTTGCTGATATACTTTGCAGTGTACAGGGAAAACTGACCTCATTATAAGTCAGGGGACTTGAGTGAATTGGTATTGAAAAATTAATTCAACTGTTCATTAATTTAATGGTAGGTTATTCAGGTCTGTAAACACTGGGTTGGCAGGGTCAAATCTCATTCCCTATGAAGAGTGAAGACCTTCATTTTTTGTAAAGGCTGTAAAAGTCCCCAAGATGCACTATTTGATAGAAAGCAGACCCAGCAATCAATATACAGTGTTGTTTGTCAAATGGCTCTCTCTGAGGTCCTGTGTCTGTGGGCAGTTGGAAACAGAGATCCAGCTGGTGTCAGAGGCCTATGAAAATCTTGCCAAGTCCTCCTCCAAGAGGGAGGCCCTGGAGAAAACTATGAGGAACAAACTGGAGCTGGAGGTGCGCCGGCTGCATGATTTCAACAGGGACCTCAGAGGTGAGAGAGCACAGTGATGCAGTTACAATATAATAATATGTTTATAGATCTTTTACACAGAGGAGAGGAGGAGTGATAGGAAAATGTGCCAATATATGGCAAACATACTGTATATAACTATTTATTATGTTTATTTACTGTCTATTTAAAAGTTTGTTGGCACATCATTGTGCATAAAGTGCAAATAGTAAAAGAACATGTCCCTGACTGTAAATGTACATGCACAGGTGATATTCAACGTCAGCTCTTAAAGTCACCAAAAGCTCTCTTGACATCTTCATTGGTGTCACCCCTCTTTTCACCCTTGTTTTCTTTTTGTTTTGTTTTTTTGCATCTGTCACGTTAGAAACATCTTCACCTCACTCACGTTAAATCCTGCAGAGGATCTCCTGCTGTGTTCTCTCATCAGCTCCTCCGGAGTTTCCGTGTTGTTAATATTGGAAAATCTCACCCGGACATTTGCATTCATCACCACCCCTCCACCCATTCGGAGAAAGTCCAGATAATCTCTGGAGTTCATTTCATGTCTGAAAGCAGCTTATGGCTACATACACACTAGTACTTTTTCTTTTGAAAATTCATCAGCTCAACTACTCAGGTGTTTTAAGGGTTGCTAAAACAGTTAAGTTTGGTAAATGCTGCTGGCCCTGTATTAGTTTGTAAACTCCAGGGCTGTGTTTTAGTCAGGACGGGCAGAAACAGAGATATTGCAAATGAGGCACTTGATGATGTTTTTGATCACAATGTAGCATTTGCTGATTCGTCTGGCTCCTATCACATTACCCCTTACCGAAAGAGCACAACTGGCATCAGCCTCAGCTTCCAGTGTAAAATGCAACATGATCAATAATAAATCATAATCAATTACAAGCATATCTGACACTGTTGTCTTTGCTAACAGCTGTTTTGCAGTTAAATATTGTATTTCCAATGCTACAACTGATTATATGTGTAGGAAACAAGTGGAATTCAAGCAAACTGTGACTATTCCCATGTCCAGTGGCAAGCACATGATTTCCTGTTCATACCAGCACATGCATGACCAGTGTATGTGACTGGCCAGGTGATATATGTTTGGAGGTATGTTAGTATGGACAAGGATTCAAACTTGTCCATATATGGAGCCTAAACGCTGGCTTGGACAGAGATAGATTTAGTTTTAAAAACTCACTTAATGTATGAATCACATTGTGCTGATATACCCTCTTTAAGCACAGTTAGTTATTATGTTTAATTGGTGAGTTGTTTAAAGTAAAAATCATTATCAGAGGAAGAAATGAAGAAAAGTTAGTAGACTTAATGCACCATTCGTACGATCTACTTTGAGAGATTTGTACTTCCAGTATGTTTCGTCACATTCGCCTTCTCTTGTTGCCTGTATTGTACCAATTATTAACTGAGCATTTGTGTTGTGTGTTTTTAAGAGCGCATGGAGACGGCCAACAAACAGCTTGCTGCTAAAGAGTGTGATGGCTCAGAGGACAGTCGCAAAACCATCTCCCAGCTTGTCACACAGAGTGAATAACACACACTCACAAGCACACACCTACTCTAACCTTCTGTGAAGATTCGGGGGCGCATCCTTCAGAGGCTGCATTTGAAGACTGATTCCTTCACTGCAACGTGACTAGACTGTCCCAATTCGGAGACTCCCCCAAATAAGCGGTGGGGGGATCGATACCAAAGTATTGATATTACCAATACTACTTCTTTTATGTTATTCCCATGCATAGAGGATAAGAGCTGTCTATATACCTCGTCATGGACATACACAAACCTACTCTTTCGTCCGCTAGGAGGGGGATGATGCCTCAGTAGCACCCAGACCCCTGACACAAAGACAGTTCACTGGCAGTCTTTTTAGAAAGGCAGAGAATATCTAGGTCGATAGTAGCGAAAAGAAATGTTTTAGTCAAACTGCAATTGGTCATCATTTGCTGTTACTTCAGCAGACTAATTAAATATAGCAGACTATATTTGAGAACACTGTCTAATGAATGAAATAAGAATGGTTGACGATAATTAAGTACTTTTGTTTAATTATTTGCACACTGATAATAATTTAAAAAAGGTTTGAAAACATTGTTTGCACTTTATTCCAAAAGAAATGTTTTTATGTATGTACTTCAATTTACAATGATAAAATAAATATTTTTGTTATTTGCCTTTAAAAATCATCAGTTTTAATAATAAAAATCAGTATCTGCAATATTATCCAGAAATTACGCAATAAGAAGACCGGACTCATTTCATTTTGCCCAATATGTTCTCCATGGCCGATGAGGAACCAGATCTCCAGAAGGATGCAGCCTGATATGAGACACAGCTATTAAGTCAGATGTGCTATGATTAACATTCGGAGTACATAACAAAAAACTTAACAATATGCAGGAAAGTCTGGTTCGAGCATGATTTAATGTTTTTTTGTGTGTTCAGATAAAGAAACACTTCGTGAGAAGGAAAAGCTTGAGATGGAGCTGAACTCGCTGCGCTCCACCACTGAAGACCAAAGGAGACACATTGAGATCAGAGACCAGGCACTAAACAATGCTCAGGCCAAGGTAGTCAAGTTGGAGGAGGAGGTAAGAGCTTCATCTGTTTATTCTACAGGTTATGCTTGTTGTCAACTTTATCAGAGCCAGGACATCATGATCTATAAAGAAGGTAGATAAAGGACCTAGGTGTTGCCGAGAACAAACAACCAAGCAACAATCAACTTCACAGAGTCAAAATACCAAAAACACATACTCTCAAACGATTATCAACATTGTGTTTTCTTAAAAAAGAGTTGTGTTTTCTTATCAGGTTGATTTTCAGGTGGTGTGCTGACATCCACTGAGAGATGTCAGTCAGACAAGCAGAGACATGTGCTGCAACCTGTGTTTCAGATTGGGTAGAAGAGAGGATAAGTTGGGTGTCATCTGTGTTGCTGTGGTAGGAAAAGCCATGTGAGTGAATGACAGAGCCGAGAGGGTTGGTGTACAGAGAGGAAAGGAGGGGACCCAGGATGGAACTTTGAGGGACCCCAGTAGTGAGTGGACAAGGTTCTGACACAGATCCTCTCCAAGTAACCTGGTAGGTACAGTCTTTAAGATGAGAGCAGGGAGAGTGCAGAGCCTGAGAAACCCAGATCCTGAAGGGAGGAATTAAGTATCTGGTGGTTCACTGTTTCAAATGCAGCAGAAAGGTCCAGAAGGATGACCACAGAGGAGAGAGAGGCTGCTCTAACAGTGTGAAGTTGCCCAGAGACAGCAAGGAGGGCTGTCTCAGTTGGGTGACTTGCCTTGAAACTGGACTGGCGAGGATCAAGATGGTTGTTCTGCTGAAGATAGGAGGAGAGTTGATTAGAGATAGCTCGCTCGAGACCTTTGTAGAGTTAGGGAAACAGCCAGTTGACAGGGAAGTGTTAATAAGATGGGTGAGAAAAGGAAGAAGGTCGGGAGCAATAGACTGGAAAATGAGAGACTCAAGGGGGCAGGTGTTTAGGCAGGCAGAAGTTACCAGGTTAAGAACTTGATTGGGAGACAGGGCTGAAAGAGGAAAGAGAAGGGGATGAAGATGAAGTTGATGAAAAGGTAATTTCAGAGGATGGGTTGGAGAATGAGGAGTGTATGTCATTTATCTTTTTTGTAAAATAGTTGACAAAGTGACTTGTTAGAAGGACAGAAAGAGGAGGGGGAATGGGTGGGTCAAGGAGGTTGGAAAGGATGAAGAAGAGTTTTTGGGGTTGGAAAATGTTTGATTAAAAGGAGCTTTTGGCTGCAGAAATAGAGGCAGAGAAGGAGGAGAGAAGAGATTGATATGTGAGCAGGTCATCAGGTTGTTTTGATTTTCATCATTATCATCATTCCTTTCTGATGCTCTCGTAGTGGCTCCATGGGTGCACACTGAGTCAGATAACCACAGCTGGGGAGGACTTGGGCATCTTGCGCATCTCTTACTTGTCTGCAAGTAAGAGGACAGAGAGAATCTAGAGAGGAGGACAGTTGAGAGGAGAGTGTCTGTGGCAGAGTTAGGATGCGTGAGTCAGATGAAGTGAGGGCTGATAAAACAGATGAGGCCAGAGAGGAGGGCGAGGGGAAGCTAATGTTGCAACCGAAAGGTACAGAGTTTGTTGAATTGATAGGGTTGTCAGATTGTGAGAGTGGCAGAGAGTAAGAGATGAAGAAGTAATCGGAGACATGAAGCAGGGTCATAGTAATTTCGAGGTAGAGCAGTTTCTGTATAAAATTAATATGATTGTCAGCTTTGTGTGTAGGTGGGGAAGGAGTAATGCGAGAGAGCAAAAGAAGAAAGTAAAAGTAGTGAGTCAGACGACTTTTCTGTCTGGATGCTGCAGTCGCCAAGAAGAGTGGAGGGCCATTTTCTGGGATGTTCGAGACAAGTACGTCTAATTCCTCCAATACTTCTCTCAAAGGACCTGGTGGACGGTAGAGATAACAATGTTTAATTGTACCAGATGAGGTATGAGGTTACAGAATGACTTTCGGAAAATAGTGGAGTAAAATGTGGTAGCAGGTAGAGAGAGAAACTCCATTTTGGGTGATGAGTAGACCTGTACAACCACCTCTGCCAGTGGGTCTGGTTGTGTGGGTATTAGAGTAGGCTGAGGAGAGAGCAGTAGAGGTGGATGTATTGGCTGGTGTGATCCAAAAGAGCAGGGAAGTCAAGTGATTGCTGGGTAACAAAGCCAGAGATGCACTCCGTCTCGCGGGTAGCTGACTGGCAGTTCCAGAGGCCCCCTGTGACAAGGTGTTGGGTATGTGTGGAACAGCTGAGATACATAAGAGAGGAAAGGTTACGGTACTGTTGTGAACGAGTGAGGCCTATAGTATCTACAAGAAGATACTTGAACAGGGACGGAAAATATACACATATTTCAATAAGAAAGGAACACACGCATCAGGATCGGTCAATGCTCTTTCAGCATGGATAATGCTCAGGCATGCGGGACACGTTTTGTGCTGGTCCCTTTCATGCAAGGAGAAGCCGCACCCCTGAGGAAATGGGCAAACAGAAGACTTCTTCCTCCCTTGGTTAGGGTTAGGGCACAAGCTCATAGTTGGAATATATAACTAAAATTTAGCCACACATAAGAACTGAAGAATTACAGTATCGATATACGTGCGGGTGAGACTTCACATACACATCACACGTCATCTGCCTTAAAGGCCTGTGTAGAGGTGTCTTCAGTGAGGACACGTGAGGGCGTGATTTATATTGAACTCCAGAAAGCCTTTTTTTAACTCTAAATATTTGTGTGTGCATGTGTGTGTGTTTGTGTGTGTGTGTGTATGTAGCTGAAAAAAAAGCAGGTTTACGTGGAGAAAGTGGAGAGGATGCAACAAGCCTTAGCTCAGCTTCAGGCAGCCTGTGAAAAGAGGGAACAACTCGAGCATCGTCTCCGTACAAGACTGGAAAGAGAGCTGGAGTCATTGCGCATGCAGCAGGTAACATGACTGTGCTAACAGCTTATCATACAGACTATCACTCTCACTATCTCACTCACTATCATGAAAAGGATATTCTTGTCATGCAGTATAAATCTGCTCTTAACAACAAATACTGTCAGATTTCAACACATTTTATAACAAAGCAGACTATTTGTCTGTTTTTAATCAGAATACAGTGTGGGAGGCTGTGGTTCAGGAGGTAGAGCAAGTTGCAGACTAACCAGAAGATCAGCAGTTCAAACCCAGTCTCTCTCGGACAGATTTTTGATGTACGATGGAGAGAGTACTGCACATAGTTGCGCTGTATGAATGTGTGCATGAATATGTGAAATGTAAAGCGCTTTGAAGGTTATCAAGACTAGAATAGTGGAAGTGTTTGATTAAATTTACTCACCTCCTTTTAAGCATTAGTATCCCCACAAAGAATGGAAAACGCCCACTCCTACCTTGACTCTGAGGGTGGGTCTTTGTGCACCTCAGATGTGGAAAAAATGTAGGCAATCCTGACAGGTATACAAAAGCTTTACCTTTTATGTTTCAGAAAGCTTGCAGACATGCTACACTGTTTTTTTTTTGCTTGTCCCTTCTCTTTCCCATCCTATCTTTTCATTTTCCCTCTACCAACTACAGACTCTTCCTGCAAGCCCTTTACCCTCATTTAGGAAAACTACAACTTTCATCCTCCCATTTAATTTGACTGGTTAACTGTTTATGGGGGTTACAACATCAACATATTTTATTGGGAACTCACAAATGAAAGTTTTATTCTTTTTTTGTCTCCCTTATTCATTCCTTTGTCCCTCCCAGCGTCAGGGAGCCTCTCAAAGCAGTGGTGGGGTCCCATCTGAGTACAATGCCACAGTGCTGATGGAACACCTAAGGGAGAAGGAGGAGCGGATCCTGGCTCTGGAGGCTGACATGACCAAGTGGGAGCAGAAATACTTGGAGGAGAGTGTGATGAGGCAGTTTGCATTGGACGCCGCTGCCTCTGTTGCCACTCAGAGGTACATTTGAATTAGAGTTATTGACCTTAAATGTTGTGTGACAGTGGCCCTTATCGAAGAGGCAGTTGTATGAATATATTTGTTCCCAATCAGAATTTGATGATACCAAAGATTTTCTTTCAGATCTTATGCCAAATAAAACAACCTATAGCAGTGGTTCTCAAACTATGGTACCACTGTTGGTATGTGAGCTCCCTCTAGTGGTACGCGGAATAATCTAAAAATTATTATAAAATGGATGGTTCAAAATCGTGGCTCCAAATGGGAACTATTTGGAAGAAAATGCCGTAGTAGGAGCAGAATATTTCAAGCAGCCGTGTTGAAAGTGAAGTGGCCGCCAACAGTAAACCGAGCGCAAGTGCTAGTAGCTATTTTAGCAGCACCAGTGAAGTCTCCACAGCACCTGCTAACAGCAAACGGTGCAAAACACTTAGGAGATATGACGTGAGTTTCCTCCAATTTGGATTCAGTTGGACCGGGATGGAGGAAGAACTCAGGTATGTGGCGATGTTCTCAGCAATAAATCCATGAAACCATTGCATTAGGGCTGTACAATATTAGGTAAACATGCGATAGGTGATATCGTTGTTTAATATTGGGATGACGATATGACTTGCAAAAAATAAAGATTAAACAGTCCCTGGCTACGGACGCAGAGACAGCTCCACACCCGGCAGAAGGTGCATAGCCCGGCCACAGCGCCACCAAGTCGGGGAGAACACCAGTGAGCCGCAGCTCCACTATATCCACTTACAGTGTTAATGTGAAGTCTTTTAATTCATGTTTGGAATTTGAAGTATTTTTTTTAACAGTTTTTAGTGGCTCTGTCACTAATTTGCATCCTCTCTTGTGTCTCTGTCATTCACGCTGTGTGCTGCACCAACTGCTTCAAACCAAACTGAGACACCACCATCTCTTCCAGCTTCACATACATTTACTAAGTTTTTAAAGTCTGTTGTTTTTACTCAGACTGAGTTTATGTGTCCGATGTTTATGTTTATGTGTCTGACACACTGTTTGTATTTGTGTGGGAGAGAGAGGAAGAGAGAGAGAGGGGGGAAAAGAGCAAGCTTGATGGCTGATGAATGTGCGTGCTGCTCTGAATGAAGATTTAACTCATTAATAAAAGTATTGATCATTATGTGATGATCAGTGTTGATATTGTGGCGACAAACAAATTAACTTTTAAACTGTTGCGAGTCATGAGACTTCAGCTGAGAGAGGGAGAGACAGAGACACAGCAGCGGAGTCTATGTGTGCGCTGTTACTTTTCCCTGTGGTTCTGGGATCATTGATAAGCTTCACAATTCTTCACAAGAGATTGTGAAATTAATGTCTGTTTGGTATTAATCCTGTCAGATCCGGATGAATTAGCTGAGTCATAATAGGATTAGTCTCCTGGCTAGGGACTTGGCCAGGATTTTCTGATTTGTATTTGGTAGTGACACTGGTCTATATGATCCCACCTGAATGAATTCCTTTCCTTTTTGGGGGGAATATAATCGTAGTTTCTTTTTAAGTCACTAGTAGCTTGCCTGTCTCAAAGCCTCCTTATACATCTTCAGTACGTAAGGCTCTGATAAATTGTCCATAACTTCAGGTGTTGTGTGGATTTGTGCAGTGTACAGCTTTTTGTAGTATTGCGGAATGTATTGTTAATATCCTCTTGTAATGAAACTTGGGTGCCAGATTTGGTATCCACTGTGTGAATGGTCCTATCATTTTCCTATTTGCACAGCTGTCTTGCCAACAATTCTAGTTTACTTTAAGGTAAGTTTGTTTGGTTAATGTAAATGCTTTTGAATTTTATCAGAAAGTATCTGATTATGCTTAAATTTTATTATGTAGCCCTATGAATGGCTGAGTCGCATTTTCTGCATCAAATTTCTTTTTCTGTTCTTCTATTTGCACTCATTTCACAATGATACACTTCTTCTGTGCAGATTTAAAGGAGATAACACATCCTATTATATATGCTTTGAAGATCTCCCAAAGTGTGGGACACATTGGGCCTCATTAGCACTTCCTCAGACCATGCATAGGCACAAATGATGAAGGCCCGGCTGTCCTAGAAAATGTAAACACACATCCTTTTAACTAAATGCATTGTCAAAGACAGCACTATGATTTCACTTGTTCTGCAACAATTGTAGGTTGTGTCGTACTGAAATCCACTGAAGGTGTTAAAGGTTACATTAAGTGAAATGTCTGGCAGTGCCATTTGTTACAGTGAGAAAGTAACATCTCATTAAAATAAATATGTTTTCAAAGTCATTGTTAGAATTKTAATGGTGACTTCCGGCTTAGTGACTGATGGAGTTAGACGTGCCTTCAGGAGCTCCTGTGAAACTCTCTTAAATTAACATATAGGGCTTTTTTGCGAACTTTTTATTATTACATTTTGACTCCACAAGCTCATTGTGACTGCAATACATGCYGATATGCCTCCAAAAATACAAACAACTCGGCAGCTACACTAACGAGGCCTACCCCCCCGGCTGCACCCCCGGGAAGTGGTGCGGCCACCCCGCCACGGAGTGCACCCGCTAAGACCCCCCCCTCCAGAGGAAGCTACCGCCGTCGTCTGGGTCCATGAAGAACCTCTCTGTTTCGTCATATGATACTCTCAACTTGGCTGGATATATAAGTCCAAATCTTATTCCAGGCGTCTATTTATAAACATTGCTTATGCACAAAATGGGGCCTGAAATGTCTATATGCCACTCTTCATGCAAACGCTGGGATTTTAAAAAATCAGACTTGACAGGAAAATTTTTGCATTTCCACGCAAACTCTGACTCGTGCGTCAAACATTTTGTGAACTGAAGCATATTATTGATCCACTTCATCATTAACATTAAAACCAACAGCTTTACTTGTGCTCGCGCGACAAAACTGTTCCATAAGAACCTTCAAGTGCAAAAGATATAAAACAACTTACAGCAAATTATGTTCAGATACCATTAAACAGTAGAGTTGCAGAGCCAAGTCTTTAATATTTTTGATAATATCTTCACTGTCTGTGTATCATCAAGGAAGAGTGTGTACAATTGCCGCAGTGAACGTGACTGTGCACAGAGCGCGCTGGAGATCACTCACAAAAATAAAGAAAAACTACTCACTTTCATACTTCTATTTCCAAATAATATTCCAGAGTGAAGGTTAGGATCCACAGTGTGAAGTAACAGTTTGATGGCTCTAAATATATAAATACTGTTCACACCATGGCAGCTTAGTAGGAAGGTGAGGGAAGTTGGGAAATAAGAAATCTTCAAAACATTTCAGTCCCTTATCATGCCATAAGGAGAAAGTGGAATCAGTAAACGTGGGTTTAAACACAGGATTCTTTAACAATGGGGTTAAAGCTGTGGGAGCAGTAAATTTAAACTGTTTCCTAAATTGAAACCATATCTTGAGTGTGGCAATAACCACAGGGTTGCAGGTAAGTCCAGAGGGGTTAGCAGTCACTGGGCCGGTCAATAAAGCAGAAAGAGAGACTGGGGGACACAACTGTGCTTCCAGCTGATACCAAGGTACATCAATTGACTTAGACCAGAGTATAATTTAAGCTGTTTGTAATAGAATTGAAATTTTTTTTTGTCTAACTCTAGGTATCTTGCCATTCCATAAAAAATGACAAATAATCGAGTCAACTCTTTAAAAAAAACTTTTGGGTAAAAATATAGGCAAACATTGAAAAAGAAATAGAAATTTTGGCAGAACACTCATCTTGACAGTATTTATTCTCCCAATCAAGGAGAGAGGAAGGGAACTCCATTTTTGAAAGTCTGCCTTAATCTCAGCTAAAAGGGGCGAGAAATTTTCAGAGTAAAGAAATTTGAAGGACCTGGCTATGTTAACCTCAAGATACCTAAATCCGGATGGACTCAATTTGAAAGGGATGTCTGACTGGGAGAGTTGCATCGCCAGTTTATTGACAGGAAGAAATGAAATTAGTCAGGTTCAATGGGACAGATTTACAGATCAAAATGGCAACCCCCCTGGCCTTCGACTTGAAACTAGAATTGAATACCTCAGCAACCCAGGGACATTTCAGTCTGACTAGATCTTTGCTCCTCATGTGGGTTTCCTGCAAAAACACAACAAATTTCAAATGGGAGAACACCCTACACCGCTTGACAGCACCCCCTAGACCTTTAATATTCCAACTGATAAATCTTATGTTTGAGCTTGAAGCCATACGGAATGTGAATTAAAATAGGAGGCAACCAGGTTCCCAACCCCACACTCCAGGGACAAGGGAGAAAAAGAAAAACCAATAAAAATAAAAATTGACTTATCGAACTCACCCCAGATCCCACACCCTCCCCCCAGAGCACCTACCACTATCCCATCCCCAAATGATAGCATACCAGTGCTAACTCCACAAGGAGTCATGAACCAAAAGAACAAACTCAAGTCTTTGGACCAAAGAGTCATCTTCACCTCGCTCCAACTTGACTGGAGCTCCCAGAAACATTTAGAAGATAAAAAATGTATAGCTAAAGATAGGGCCTACGTATTAAACAACACAAGACTCAGAACCGTCTAGGAAATCTGTGCATACATATGCATGTTGACTGCTTATTAGAACAATAGGAGTTATGGTGCCATTTATATCAAAATTAACTGAACATGTCTACAGTAATGGTATGTTATTCAAAATTTTTTAAAGTAACTTCACGCAGTGGCCCCTACACTCAAACCTGTGCTTCAACAACTATGCAGTAACAAACCCAATTCTACTTGAGTGTTTTCACAAAAGCTGCGGCGTCCTCAGGTTATATAAATTCCCTTGTGACATTCCCTCTGGTGATCCGGAGGCGTGCTGAATGTAACAGCCCAAACCTTATGTCGGGAATGTCCCTGAGCTGGCGTTGGATGTCATTGAAGGCTGCACAGGCTTTGACTGTGTGTGTGGTGAAGTCCGGGAAAAAGGAGATCGTTGAGTCCTGGGTTCTGGCATGTCGTAGGATATCGGCATATATTATATATACAGTATATCGTTGTAGGGATCGATGCGCACAGTCCACAACTGGCTCTTTTCTTAAGTCTTTCAGCAGTGTGGAAACTGTGGACGCGTCGACCATGCCGTGCTCCTCAGTTAGTCCTATTATCCTGATGTTGTTACGGCGAGACCTCTCCTCCAAATCTGATGTCAAGAGTAACAACTTGAACCAAAAGTTTGTCCACTTTACTTTAAGAGAAACAACATAATCAGTGCATGACGACAGCGAGCCCTCCATGTCAATCACAGTTACCTTAAGTACATCCACCTCAGACCGGACAGCCACCATATTAGCATTTAGCTCCATCTTCACACTCTGCAGCTCGGACTACACCTGAGCAAAGTTATCTGTCATTGCCGTCTTCAATTCCGTCTTAAAAATGAAAAATGAAATGAAGCCCGCAGAATTCATGCTCGGGACGGCGGTAGCTTCCTCTGGAGGGGGGGGTCTTAGCGGGTGCACTCCGTGGCGGGGTGGCCGCACCACTTCCCGGGGGTGCAGCCGGGGGGGTAGGCCTCGTTAGTGTAGCTGCCGAGTTGTTTGTATTTTTGGAGGCATATCRGCATGTATTGCAGTCACAATGAGCTTGTGGAGTCAAAATGTAATAATAAAAAGTTCGCAAAAAAGCCCTATATGTTAATTTAAGAGAGTTTCACAGGAGCTCCTGAAGGCACGTCTAACTCCATCAGTCACTAAGCCGGAAGTCACCATTACAATTCTAACAATGACTTTGAAAACATATTTATTTTAATGAGATGTTACTTTCTCACTGTAACAAATGGCACTGCCAGACATTTCACTTAATGTAACCTTTAACACCTTCAGTGGATTTCAGTACGACACAACCTAAAATTGTTGCAGAACAAGTGAAATCATAGTGCTGTCTTTGAGGACTAAGCCTGAATTAACCTTGTTTTCCTGAACAAACATAGCACTGCCACACATTTTACACATAAATATAACCTGTAACGCATTCAGTGGATTTAAGTACCACACAACATACAACTCCTGAATGTAGCAGAACAACTGAAATGCTGTCTGTGAGGACTAAGTTTCCTAAATTTTTGGAAAAGTGAGAGGCAAATTTTTTTTGATGAAAAGAAGCTTCTCTGCATTATCAGCTGACAAGCCTGTTTTTGTTTTCATCGACAATATGCAACACTGAGCTTAACAGCCTTTCACTTTCCACACTACTGCATGGTTCCGAGAGGTATAGTTGACATTTGGGCAAGAGTGGGAAACCGCACTATGTTAACCCCCCAGTACTGCAGTGGTTTGTCTTCCCGAGATATTGTGGTCTCTCCAAGGTATGTCTCTAACTGAATAGCAGCACCCACTGGTGCACTGCTCAGTGTTGGTGATGCCTGCTCATCTGGTATCTAATCAAACACACTGTCTAAACTGCTGCTGGCCTGGACCTTGCATAGCTTTCTGGTAGGTGGTTACCCCAGATCCTCCTGCTTGTCTGCCTGTCCTCCAGACACCTTCTGCAGCTCCAGCATCACCCTCTATTTTCCTCTGTAGCAGTGTTGATCTTGGAGAAAAAAACAATCTTTATACCTAAAATAGAAAAAATAATATTTTAGCTGCAGTAGTGCCCACTGGGGAGCGGTGAGATTGTCGGGGAGCTCATATTCGGACCCAAATATAATATATATAGAGACTGTAGCATGTAGTACATGCTGTTCCAGCGGGTCTGCACGTCTTGCTGGTGTCTTCTTATAAGCATGTTAAGGCAGAATGTTTAAAATGTCCAACTATTTTACATTTCACTGCCACCGCATCGGCTACACTTCTCTGAGCCAGAAGCACCTCGTTAACAGCCAGCTGAAGGGTGTGGGCGACACACGGCAGGCTAGGTCCAGCATCACTCACTTGATCATGTTTTTGGCTTTGTCCCGCACAACGTCAACAGAACTTTTCTGAATGCCCCACGTCTGAAACATGTCCTCAAACGCACCTGCTATGGCTTGGCTAGTGTGCGAATCCCAAAACTGTTTTGCTTGTAGAGTGACTCTGTGGAGAGTAAAATCTTCACCAATCCACTGCACAGTTAAACTGATGAGAGACAATGGGCTGACACTGCTAGTCCAAATATCAGTGGTGAAGCTGAAGGCCGAAATGTCCTGCAACAGGCTGTTGACGTGCTTTTTCACAAAGTCATGTAGCTTTGGTAATACGGTTTCTGTGATGTGGTGACGGCTGGTAATCTCATACTTCGGCTCCAGTACACTGAGAAGGTGGCGGAATCCCGTATTATCTACAATTGACAACGGCTGGTCATCAAGAGCAATGAACTGGGTAAGAGCTTCTGTTAGTATTACTGCTTGTGGTTTGTCTCTGGACATTTTCTCTCGCTTCTCCAGCATTTGCTGCAAAGTTGGTTGTTGCTGTTTGCCGCTGCTAGCATTAGTAAACTCTTTGAACTCTGCGTTGTGTTGGTTATTGAGATGCTTTATCAAATTGCTTGTGTTAAAGGAGCTACTTTTCACCCCTCCACTTGACAATTTATCAGAGCATAGTTTGCAGTCTACTTTACTTTTGTCACCATCACTAATCTTAAAATAGCTCCAAACAGCTGACATTGCACCTCCTCCGGCTACCTGCTCAACTGATGACAGGTTGATGTCATGTTGCCGTAAAGTGGTATCAGGTGCGGTTGTATCGGAGTAGTTTGATTATGATTAGGAGTACATGAGCACAGTTTCGGACAGACACCCGATACTGGTATCGATATCAGTGCCCCCCTATTCATAAATGAGACCACTGGTCTGTCACAAGCATCTTCCTCACTGGGTAAATGCCACTCTGTGTCTGATCACTTTGTGTGGGAAGTCTCTGAACATTCGGATTTGTTGGTTGTAAAATGATAAGTCCGTGGCAGACATGACTTTCTGCATTATGTCCTCAAAAGCATGGCAATAATGAGCTGCACAGTCCTGTGTTTTTTGGCTATTTTCTGTCTGTTTGTTGTTATTCGTCTTCGGGGCAGAATCTGTTGTTCAGCCCGAGGCTTCGTTGGGGCCTGCTTCGTCCACCTTTTTTTGCCCTTTTTCTGCTTTTTACTATTTACTTAAGTAAATATCCTCAATTTTCAGTCAAGCCAAAAGTTTTAATTCAATTCTACTAGTCTGCCACCGGAGTAGACATTCAACCATACTTACATACGTGTATTGTGGTGGAATATTCCTTGTAGAAATTTTTAAAATTTCTTTTAACATTTGAATATCTCATATTCAATGTGTTGACTGCCTCTGCCTCCTAAACCACCACACCCTCTGTTGAACAGGCATCCTCTGCTTTTTGGTTGGTGATTGTACAATGTAGAGCAGTGGTGTCAAACTCAATCACAGAGAGAGCCAAAATTAAAAACTGGGACTACGTCGAGGGCCACACAGGGTCAACATTTATTAAACAGGACAGACAGGATATTGGATAAAGTGCAAATCGAAAACATATTTAGATCACATCACACGGCATTATGAATCAGCATCACCTCAGTGATGATTTTACTAGGGGCAATGATTTTGCTAATGATCAAATCATGAATCATGAACAAATCATGTGTTTCAGTTTGAAACAAGTGATTTGTTATTCAGAAGAGTTTGGTAAATTCAACTTGGAACACGTGGTAACTAACCTTACTGAAAAAAGTCATAGGTGTAATTAGGGCTGGGCGATATGGAATTTTTTTTTATCACAATCTTTTTTCATATCATTAGATATTGATATATATCATGATATAAATCAGATAACCAGAAAATAACTTTTTGCACATTTGTGTTTATGTACAATGTTCTTCTTATGTACAGCATTTTCTTCTTATGCATAAAACAGGTTTTTGCTTGCTCCTATAATCATCCTGTACCACTGCACTTTACTTAGAACATTTCATACAAACCAGAAAAGGTTTATATAATGTACATACTAAGCATTTATTAAATCAAATGTTTATTTTTATTTTATTGCCTTTTTATATTTCTTTCTTCTCTTGTGCTCCTCATTCTGACGTGCCCTAATATTTCACTGTGGCAGTAGACCATGCCACGCGGTTCCCACCACGACAGCCCGAGACGAACCAGTCCAACCATTGGGTGCTCAGCAACTTCTTTTTATTTAATGCAAACAGAACTGACAAAACACTTAACTTAAAGGGTCCAGCACTTTCTGCTGGACCTTTAGCTTCACCCAGTCTCTTCCCCAGTGTGTATTCCCAAAGGCAGCTCTGCTGTTTCCTTTTCAAGCATGAGGATCAATCAGCTAAAAGATCTCACCTGTGCTGACTGATCCTCTGTGGTGCAGGTGAAGGAGCTCTCCCAGCCCCTTCACCTCCACATACCCCCACCGTCAGATTCAGGTCCG